TATTTTACAGATGAGGAAACAGACACAGAGAGGTTAAAGAACTTGACCAAGATCACAGAGCAAAGCTTAGTTATGAATACAGGTAATGTGGTTCCAGAGTCCACAGAAGAATATTTGGAAGTTACAAATATAACGGCGGAAACTGAAAAACTACTGAAAAGGCTGAAATACATAGTTGAGGCAATATTTTAGAATGGAGAAAAATATGTAAAAAGGTCAAAAATAGGAAAAAAGATAAAAGAAACTCAAGAAGTTTAGCATCCAATCATTTCAGAAAATGAAAACAGGAAAGAGAGATGGGAAGAAATTTTTAAAGAAACCACTGGACTGTGGCAAGAATTTGAATATTTTTTTATGTCCAGCATGAAGGTATTCTAAAGCTTGTTTCTTACCTCACTTATGATAATAGTTCCTACTGTTATTTCCTTAGCTGATACTTAACTTGCTAATGTTTCAGATTTTATCTAAAATGATAAACATATTAACCTAAAAAAAAAAAGAAACTATTGGAGACATTTTTCAGAATATCAGGATTTGAATTTCCAATTGAAAGGGACTTTGGAGTATCTTGCACAACAAATTTAAAAAATTACTAGTAAATGCTATGGACTATTGGGCTTCCCAGTGGCTCAGCAGTAAAGAGTCCTCCTGCAATGCAGACTCAGGTTCAGTCCCTGAGCTGGGAAGATCCCCTGGAGGAGGGTGTGGCAGCCCACTCCAGTGTTCTTGCCTGCAGAATCCCATGGACAGAGGAACCTGGCGGGCTACAGTCCATAGTGTTGCAGAGTCAGACAGGACCAAAGTGACTGAGTATGTGCAAATGCATGGGCTGTTACTGTCCTCACACAGTTCGTGTGTTGAGACTAATTTCCCCACTGGATGTGGATGTAGGGCCTTTGAGAGTTGGATAGGTCATGAAGGTGGAGCCCTCATGAATGGGATCACTGTCATTATGACCTCAGAGACCTTCCTCACCTTCCACACCTGTGAGAACACAGTGAGAATGCCGCTGTTTATGACTCAGCAAGTGGGCTCTCACCAGACACAGAATCTGCTAGAGCTAGGACCATGGACTTAACTTCTAGAACTGTCAGAGATATATTTCTGCTGTTATAAACTACTCAGTATACAAATATCTTGATACAGCAGGCCAAATGAACTCAGAAGTCAAACCACACTGAAACTTTAAGATTGTACACATAAAGAGTCCCTAATAAGTTTCTGAAGGGAAATAAAATGATCCTCTCAAGGGCCTGACAAAAATAATGACATCAGATATTTTTTCCAGTGGTACCATTGAAAGCCAGAAGACAATAAAGCAATGATGGCAAAACCTCGAGAGAAACTGAGGTTCACTTTAGAATTCTATACCCAGCCAAACCACCAGTCAAGGGTGAGATAGAGTAAAGACGTTTTAAGAGATACAAGGTCTCAAAAACATTACTCCCATGCACTCTTTCTCAGGAAGAACATTGGTATAACACCCAAGAAAACGTGCAAGTGAAACCCCAAAAAAAGAAAACATGGAAAGGAAGAAATGAGTAATTCCAAAGGTGGTGATGAAATGAGGTCTCCAATATAGCTGTGCAGTGACTCACCCATACGCAAAAAGGAAGATCAGGGTGCTAGTCTCCTCAATTCAGTTGCTCAGTCGTGTCCATCTCTTTGTGACCCCATGGACTGCAGCGTGCCAGGCCTCCCTATCTATCACCAACTCCCGGAGTTTACTCAAACTCATATCCATTGGGTCAGCGATGCCATCCAACCATCTCATCCTCTGTGGTCTTCTTCTCCTCCTGCCCTCAGTCTTTCCCAGCATCAGGGTATTTTCCAATGAGTCAGCTCTTTGCATTAGGTGGCCAAAGTATTGGAGCTTCAGCTTCAGCATCAGTCCTTCCATGAATATTCAGAACTGATTTCCTTTAGGATGGACTGGTTGGATCTCCTTACTGTCCAAGGGACACTCAAGAGTCTTCTCCAACATCACAGCTCAAAAGCATCAATTCTTCAGCACTCAGCTTTCTTTAGAGTCTCCTAGAGGAACAAAAAATAAGAGTAACTGGTACCTAATATGTTTGATTGAACTGGAGGCATGTTATGCTTTTTACAGTGTGAAGAATTAGTGATAGTTATGTAACAAGCTAACTTAAAAAAAATGATGCAATTATTAACTCCAAGAAAAACCAAACAAGACATAAAAGTGTAATCTATAATATTTACAAGGTCATAATAAAGCAAATGCTGAAATTGAGTTTTTCAAAAGTTTTGAAATAACTATAATTAAAGGAGGGGGCATTGGGAAAGATGCCATCATAAAGCCAAATCCTCATCTCCCAAGGCAGGAAGTCAGTAAATAACATTTAAAGTGAAAAATTAAAGATATAGTAATATAAGCTTGTCATGTTAAAATATGGAGGTAAATAGCAGAATAAACAACTGAAATAGTTAAAAGTGGTATCTCTGGGAATGAGGCATCCAAAGTTGAAGAAGCTGGAGCAGGAAAATAGTATTTCATTATCAACCTTGTACTGTAACAATAACAGTACAGTGTTTCTTTTCTTTTCCCCATTCATCAATTTATTATGCTATGTACAAGCATCATTTAGATAAAAATTTAACATAAATATCTTGAACAGGATTTAGTACAGAGTATGTGCTCAGTGAATGTTGGATGTTGGTGTTGATGCTGCTGTGATCTTTGTTAAAGCTGCAAAACTTAACAGCAGAACCAATCACCAATCTGCATAACAACCCTAAGGTAAATCAGTTAATAGTTTTCTATTTCTCCACTCAAAAGTAAAAATGTAGAGTGACTCAAATTCACTGAGCATAATACTCTCTAAGGACCATCCACATTGTTGCAAAAAGGAAGAACTTCATTCTTTTAATGGCTGAGTAGTATTCCATTTTATGTGTTATATACATTGTATATATTAAGTAATGTATATTAAGCATATATTATGTAATACTTACACCATCTCCTTTATCCATTCATCTGTAGATAGACATTTAGGTGGCTTCCACGTCTTGGCCGTTGCGTTTTCATATGTTAATTTGGCGTACAGTTGATTTACAATGTTGGGCTCGTTTCCGGTGCACATCAACGTGACTCAGTTACACATGTACATGTATTCATTCTCCTTTAGATTATTCTCTCATGTGGGTTATCACAGTGTACTGGGTAGAGTTCCTTGTGCTACACAGACGGTCCTTCTGACTATCTAGCTTATACAGAGAGTGTGTGTATGTTCACCCCACACTCCTGATTTTATCCCTCCCTTTGGCTATCGTTAAGAATGCTTCCATGAACATTGGGATGCATATCTTTTTGGATTTTCATCCTTTTTGGATATATGCCCAGGAATGGGATTGCTGGGTCATATGGATTGCCGGATGCTATAGCGTTCTAATTTTTTGTAAAATTAATGTACACTTATTTTTAAAAATTACAAAGAATAAATGTCATTTGAAATTGTACTCTTTAGGTAGAGATAATCACAACTAACACTTGATGAACCCCTAACTATTATGTAAAAATATATATAATATTTTTGTGCTTGCTATTATCTATTAATCAGTTGGTAAAGAATCCGCCTGCAGTGCAGGAGACTAAGGTTCAATCCCTGGGTTGGGAAGATCCCCTGTAGAACAAATGGCGACCAACTCCAGTATCCTTGCCTGGAAAATCTCATGGACAGAGGAGCCTGGTGGGCTGCAGTCCATGGGGTCACAAAGAGTCGGGCACGACTGAGCGACTTCACTTACTTACTTACTGTACACAATTACATATAAATTAATTACACTATTTATGCTACTTTATAATCTGCTTTCATCAGCCAGTAATATGGCCATGTTTCCATGACCAATAGATGTATATTTACATCATTTATCCAAAAAAATGCATTGCCAACATATACCATAAGTTATAAACCATTCCCCTTTCAATGGACATTTAAGTTGGCCTCATATTTCAATATTACATGCAACATTTCAGTGAGCATCCTTATTAATGCGATATTGAATTCTTGATGTCCAAAGCCTCTTTTCTAGAAAGAATCCACTAGATTCATAAAATGGTCACCTCATTGCAAAACTTCATAATGTAAAATAATTTGAGATGAGCTGAAGTTATTATAAAACCTAGCTCCTGATCTTGGGTCTTGAGGTGGAATATAATAAAATGTTCTCTTACACAGCTTGTGTCAGATCACAGGAGTCTAAAATTTGGTGTCTATGCCTGCACAGATGCCCTTTTGAACTTATTATGCTATTATCAACCTACAGTACTATATTTTTAAAACACTGAGAAAATAATTTTCCCTTAAGTTTTCTTAACATTATAATTTGATAGTTAAATCAGTCATCTATGCTTTGCAGATAAAAAAATTTAAATAGTTAACATACGGTGTAATTTCTGCTGCTGGGTTTTCAATGTCCACCAACCCAGGGTTGAGCTGGGTAGGAAGAAAGAGAAAAATGAAAACTCATATCATGGTCTGCTCAGTTGTTTGGACAAGCAGACTCTGAAAGCTTATAGAAATTCTTGCACTGTGTTTACCCTCCTCCGACAAATTATTTCAATAACAAAGAATTTATTAAGGTCAGTGTCTTCATGTCTTTCCCTCCCTGGGTATAATATTAGCTTTGCGGTGTAAACAAGCATGAGTTTGAGAGTATGCCTCTGTAGATGGATAGCCTTACGGTCTCTGGATGAAATGCACTCACTACAGGAGGTGTAAGGTGGTATTTGGTATGTAAAATAGAATCCTAAAACTGTGAAGCAAATTCCATCCTAGGAACACCAGGCACCAAACAGTAAACAAACATAAACAAATAAGTTTTAAATCATTCATTTCTGTTTCCAAGAATATTAAATCCACGACTTAGAGGCTTCTTATTTCCTTCCCCCTTTTGGAGGCTGTCCTTCCTTGTCTACATTACTTGATATATGTTGGCCTCTTCACACACTCTACAGTCATAAAAATCTCAGGGAAAACATTTCACCACTTGACAGACCATCTGAACTTGGCTGGCTCCAGGAGCCACGGAGTGCCATCTGTTGACTGCGACACCGTGGGGATCCGGAGGGCTCTTCTCCACGACAGGGATGAGGTCAAGGGCTCTGCAGTGAAGGCGCTCACTCCCGGACCTCTCCAAACAGACGAGATGCTCAAGGGCCTTCCAGTTTCCAGGAATCTCCACGGGGCCCCGTTTAGACTGGAGAAGGAGATGAGGACCACATAAGCAGACGTCAACACTTGTCCCTCGTCGGGCCCTGAAGTCAGATTCCTCAGGAAACAGACTCTGACACAGAGATTTAGGTTCAGGGGATGCACTGGGGTGTGTTTCGGAGGTCCACATCTGTGGGGGAGTAAAGGAAACAGGACTGGGAAGAGGGAGCGGTCAGGCGTGGATGAGCCTGCGGCAGACACCTCAGTCTACTCTTCAGCAAGCCCCGGAGCCAGGCTGGCTCTCCCAGGCTGTCCTTGAATCAAGGCAGGGACCTGGCCTTTGCAGCCTTGCATCAACCAATCACTGGCTGTAGGCTGGCCCGGGAGGAAGTGTGACCTTCTGGGAGGGTGCTCCCTCTGATGATGGCAACCCCAGGACAAGCTGTTAGCGGCGAGCTCTCAGCAGCAGGGGGATGGGTGCCTGGGTCCGCAGGGACAGCCTGGCCACACACAAAAGCATCCCTTCCACTCTCCTGCCCTCAAGAATTCCTAGCTGTCCCAGGATGCCAGCTCCATATGCAAAGTTTCAGTCTGAAGGAATGACCACCGTCTTTAGACATGGGAGGGGCATAGGAAGGCGGGTATCAGAGAGGGGCCTCTAAGGGAACGGGACCTTCAAGGGCAGAGACCCTGCAACTACAGATACAGTTACTATGAGAACTGCCGCAGAAGGTTTTAAAAGCCACCCCAGATTAAGCACCATCCCAGGGTCTGTGGTGAGTGTGACCTAAATGAGCAGGCATCCCCCTGGGTCATGAATGAGAGATTAAACAGCAGGGCATCACCAGCATCATTTATACCTGAGGTTTCCTTAAGTTTCCATACAGGAGTCCTGTCCACATCCTGGAGTCCACCTCTGACGTCACCACCAGTGTAATGGGAAAGAACATTCTGTATACTATTACAGACTAGTCACTAAAGGGATGTCACCTGTAAGCTTAAATTATACACAACAGCCCATCTCTGGGATCCCAGGTAATGAGCATGAAGCTAAAATACCTTTGTTTATCCCACAAGAAACATCCTGACTAGGCCCATCTGTGAATGACTGCGGGAAGGAAGAAATCAGCACATCCCCTCTGGAGGCTGGGGGCTTGCAGGAGACACAAGAGATCGGGTTCGACCCCTGGGTTGGGAAGATCCCCTGGAGGAGGGCATGGCAACCCACTCCAGTATTCTTGCCTGGAGAATTCCATGGACAGAGAAACCTCGTGGGCTACAGTCCATGGGGTTGCAAAGAGTCAGACCAACTGAAGCGACTTGGCACGCACACTCTCTGGAGGCTGGAGGCTGATGGGAACCATGAAGAGCTTGACTTTATTCCCTCCCCTTTTAGTATAAGAGGAGCCTAAATCCCAACTCAGGCAAGGTGGTTCTCTGGGAAATGAGCCTACCATCTACTTAGTTCGCTGACTTTCCAAATAAAGTCATTATTCCTTGCCCCAACTACTTATCTCTTAAATTACTGGTCTGTCATGAGGTAAGCAGTACAAGCTTAGACTCAGTAACAGTACCCAAAAAGGTCACAGCTTCCTGCTTCTTCCACTTGGAAGTGCTCTCTGGACCCTGCAGTGATGAGCAGACTGGAAAAACCAGTGTGACACTACTCCAGGAGAGACCCTCAAACGAAGAGGAATGGAAGTTGGTGGGTAAACACACCTTCCTCTTGGAGACACAGTTACAAAGCAGGTCCTGCACAGTATCCCCAATTATCGGCAATGGCAGCCCCCTCATTAATACACCATTTGCTTCTCTGGTTTCTCCAGTAGTCATGTATGGATGTGAGTGTTGAACTGTAAAGAAGGCTGAGTGCCGAAGAGTTGATGCTTTTGAATTGTGGTGTTGGAGAAGACTCTTGAGAGGAGTCTTCTCTTCTGCAAGGAGATCAGACCAGTCCGTCCTAAAGGAAATCAATCCTGAATATTCATTGGAAGGACCGATGCTGAAACTGAAGCTCCAATACTTTAGCCACCTGATGTGGAGAACTGACCCCCTGGAAAAGACTCTGATACTTGGAAAGGTTGAGGGCAGGAGGATAAGGTGGAGACAGGATGAGATGGTTGGATGGCATCACCGACTCAATGGACATGAGTTTGAGCAAACTCCAGGAGATACAAAGGACAGGGAAGCCTGATGTGCAGTCCATTGGGTTGCAAAGAGTTGGACATGACTCAGCGACTGAACAAAACTACCTCCACTTTGGGTGAAGCCCAATTTCAATGGATAATTGAAACATAACTTCATTTTTACTGACGAAGTCTCCAAAAGTTGGGTGTAAATAGATCCTTGCTTGGATTGCCTTCTCCGCACATTCTCCCAAAATTCTAGAAAATAATGCCCTCTGGGGCATCCCCTTTCTGGCCCCTTACATATAGAAATGATGGAGAGATAGATATAGAGATACTTAGGTACACAGATAGATACAGATATTCTGGTTTGGTTTTTTTTTTTACTATTTTTGCCCATGTATAAAAGCCTGCAAAGTTTGTGTTGAGAACAGATTCTAGCAGTGTAACTAGACTGCATAGTCTAGTGTGACTGGCTGTCTGCTGCCCATTCTCCACCCTTCTGTTCGTAACATTTTGGGTTTCCTTTAAGGAAGCGCTCCTGCCCACACTTAGCTCCTATGGACTCACAAGAGTGGACCCCCCTGAGCCACAGCCTTCTGGAAGCAGGGGATCTGCAGCATCTTGCAGCTCTCTCCTCTCTCCCCCACCCATGGCTTCCTGTCATGTTTAAAATATAACTTAAACTATTTCCCTGACTGCTCTAGAATGAGTGTTTGAATGTCCCCCCAAATCCATATGTTGACATCTAACCCCCAGTGTGATGGCCTTAGAGAGTTAGGGGTTTGGGAGGTAATTAGGCTATGAAGTTGGGGTGTCCATGAGTGAGATTAGTGTCCGCATAGCAGTGACCCCAGAGCTCCCCCACTCCTCCCATCCCACTGGGAAGACGGCCATCCATGACCCAGGAAGTGTGTCCTCATCAGACACCAAGCCTGCTGGTGACGTGACTTTAGACCGCCCAGCCTCCAGAACCATGGGGATGGACTTCTGTTGTTCGGAAGCCACTCGGTTTATGATGTCCTCCGCCCTCTCTCATCCTTCTCCCACTGATTCCGTTTGGCTCGTCTCAGTCTTGCCTTAGGCTGTTACTGTGGCACTGTACCTGCAAAATTCTTTTCCCAAATCTTTATTCACCTGCTGCTCATTCTTTATTTGTTTTTTTTTAGTGAAGTAGAGTTGGCTTAAAATGCCTAGTTAGTTTCAGGTGTGCATCACGATGATTTAGTTATACATAAACACCAATTATTTTCCAGATTCTTTTCTATATAGTTTATCACAAGATATTCAGGATAGTTCCCTGTATGATGCAGTAGGTCTTTGTCATTTATTTTATAATAGTAGTGTGTATATGTTAATCTCAAATTCCAAATTTGTCCCTCCCTGCTTTCCCCTTCGATAACTGCAAGTTTATTTTTTTTCCTGTGTTTGTGGGTCTATTTCTGTTTTGTAAATAAGCTAATCTGTATTTTTTCAGAGTTCACATATAAGCACATATGTGTGTGTGTGTGTGTGTGTGTGTGTATATATATATATGCATATAACCTCCTGAGAAATCTATATATCTGTATGCAGGTCAAGAAGCAACAGTTAGAACTGGATATGGAACAATAGACTGGTTCCAAATTGGAGAAAGAGTACGTCAAGGCTGTATATTGTCACCCTGCTTATTTAACTTATATGCAGAGTACATCATGTGAAAGTTCAGGCTGGATGAAGCACAAGCTGGAATCAAGATTTCTGGGAGAAATATCAATAACCTCAGATACATAAATGACACCACCCTTACAACAGAAAGTAAAGGGGAACTAAAGAGCCTCTTGATGAAAGTGAAAAAGGAGAGTGAGAAAGCTGGCTTAAAACTCGACATTCAGAAAACTAAGATTATGGCATCTGGCCCCATCACTTCATGGCAAATAGATAGGGAAACAGTGGAAACAGCGGCAGACTTAATTCTTTTGGGCTCCAAAATCACTGCAGATGGTGACTACAGCCATGAAATTAAAAGATGCTTACTGCTTGGAAGAAAAGCTATGACCAACCTAGATAGCGTATTAAAAAGCAGAGACGTTACTTTGCTGACAAAAGTCTTTCCAGCCAAGGCTATGGTTTTTCCAGTTGTCATGTATGGGTGTGAGAGTTGAACTATAAAGAAAGCTGAGCAGTGAAGAATGGATGGTTTTGAACTGTGATGTTGGAGAAGACTCTTGAGAGCCCCTTGGACTGCAAGGAGATCCAACCAGTCAATCCTAAAGGAAATCAGTCCTGAATATTCATTGGAAGGACTGATGATGAAGCTGAAACTCCAATACTTTGGCCACCTGATGTGAAGAACTGACTCACTGGAAAAGACCCTGATGCTGGGAAAGATTGAAGGCCAGAGAAGGGGATGACAGAAGGTGAGTTGGTTGGATGGCATCACCAACTTGATGGGCATGAATCTGAATAAGCTCCAGGAGCTAGTGGTGAATAGGGAAGCCTGGCATGGTGCAGTCCATGGGGTCGCAGGGAGCTGGACATGACTGAATGGCTGAACTGAACTGAACTATAAGCCATATCATATATTTGTCTTTCTCTGTCACTTGTTATGATAATCTCTATCCATGTTGCTGCAGGTGGCATTATTTCATTGTTTTTATGGCTGAGGAATATTCCACTATGTATACATGCCACATCTTCATTACCCATTCATCTGTTGGTCGAATTTAGGTTGTTTTCTTGTCCCGGCTATTGAAAATAGTGCATCAAGGAATATTGGAGGAACGTGTATCTTTTCAAACTAGAGTTTTCTTGGATATATGCCCAGGAGTGGGATTCCTGGATCATATGGTAGTTCTATTTTTAATTCCTTAAGGAATCTCCATACTGTTCTCAAACCTAGTATCACTTCCTCAGAGGAGGGTTCCTTGACCACTCAACCTAAACTAACAGACCCCTCAGCCACCATTGTATAACCTTGTCCAATATTTATCACAGCCCAGGACAGTGTGAAGTTGCCTCATTTATTGATTTACTCACTGACTGACTGTCTGATGCACCTTCAATAGTATAAGCTCTATGACAGCATGGTATGATCCTTGTTTGGTCTGCTATCCTCAGCACCCTAGAGGAGTGCCTAGACTATAGTAGGTATTCAATAAAAATAATAAATGAACAAATGAAATAGTTCCTGCTTATACAGCAAAACATAAGCTTTGAGCAAAAAATATGAAACATCCAAAATGTTACAGCCATTGTTTTCAAACATCTTAAAATCAAGACAAAAGGATTAAACATGGTGCTTCACAATCATTAAGATGAGTTTCCAATCATCCCTCTGCATTATCTACAGATGTAAGATCTAAGGGTCCCATTGATTCCAAACTTCGTTCACACTATGGATTTCATTATCCCAGGCTGAGTTATTTGTAGCTTTGCAATGTTAAAATAATAACAGGCTAGTTAATAAAAATAATATAATGACAACAAAAGCAAGTTGATGTTGCCATTCTCCTCGATTTACAGGGTCCTCTAGGTGGGGGATTGAAAGGCAGCTGATTTCTGAGTCAGGCCAAGAATTCCATCATAGTTATAGATACTTCAAGTCAAATCAGCAAAATGTGCCCTCAGAGGTAACCCATGAAATATGTTTTGCTAGATACTACCAGGCAAGGAGCAGGAAGAAACAGGTGTGGCAGCAGGGATATGCGTTGTTTTTGCAGGACAGAAAGGAGCAAAGGCTGAAAGATTTAGCCTCTCAGAGCGATAACTTTGTGAGTCTGCAGTGATTTATTTGATGGGGAACAGGAGGACTGACCCCCTCCTCCACAGGATCAGCTCCTTGATTATAAACACTCAATAACTTTCAGGTTGAAAATGCATTTTCTCCCCTAGCCTATACGTTTCTGACGCTTGCCTTATTATTTCCTATTAGGAAATGCTATTTAATTCCATCCACAGCTTGGCGACCTTTGTGTGGCTTCCCCACTTAGGAAATTTACAAGTAAATCACCAAGAAGTATGTACACATACACTTATAAAATATACATGTGCTTGTAAATGAAAATGCACCAAACGGCAAAAAAAAAAAAAAAATGCTACATGCATTGCAAAAACCGGGCATATTGTGCATAAGAGGTGGGAGGCAGGTGTTTGGGAAATCTTCACACCATCCCAATATTTTTCTAATGGTTTCCATTTCCAATGCAAGGGAGAATTTGGAAAACATTAGCCACTGTGGTGTGCTCTGAGCTGTGACATGTAGCTGGCAACGTGGTGGGTGGGATGCCCCCCTTTTTTCCCTCTAACAAAGAAATAGGGTGAGTTTATTAAAGCATAAATGCCATTTTCATCCTGCAATGATGACTGCGTGGCTGGGATCCCCGAGGTACAGAGGCAGTCAAAGCAAACAGCTGTGCCACCTACTTGCAACAGTTGTACGCCCACCACACAGCTCGGAGGGGAGGAGCAGGTCAAAGAGAGCCATAAAGAGGACGGGGAAGGGGGGGTGCGCATGGGAGGCACCTCTCTGAGCTTGCTCCCCGTCGCCTGAGGGAAAATCCAGCCCTTTGGAGGGTAGGTATTATGCCTGCACCACTCAGAATGCTGGGCATTCTCTCGCAACTCGTCTCCTATAAACCACCTACTGCATTTTTACATCCTCCAGTCACACAGACCAAAACAGTGTTTAGCAAATTAACAGAATGCTAAATAAAAGGCGTATCAACCAACCTAGCAGGCAGCCTGTCGATGGCTCTGAGTGGGGGTGGCGGTAAGTGTCGCTGGGGTGGTGAGTGGTGGCTTCAACATCCGAGTCTGCGGGTTTGGGGAAGGATGGGGCGCTCTGGACATGCTGTCATTACGTTTTCTTGATGGAGTCCAAGGGTCGCTCCACACCCGCCTGTGTCAGCAGGGCACATGGTGGGGGTGGGGGGTTCCCCAGGAAGGAGTCTGCACCCCACTTTGGGGGTGACCAGGGGCACGCCTCCTGTCCCTCGCCTGGAAGAGGCAGGCGGTGAAGAAGCATCCCCCCTTAGCTAGCCCTCCTCTTCGCCTCTTCTGTGCTCCAGGGCATCTCGTGGCAGGAGACTTTGAAGTGAAAAGTCTGAGATGAGAAAAACCAGAGAATATGCCTTTCCTCTGCAACGAGGCTGCCTGCCACCCCTTTCTTGGAAAGGCTCGTGAATGAGCAACGACCCAGCCCGACATGTTCATCTTGCGATCAGCTCCATGCCTTGTGAGATGACACTGCAGAGCAGGGTCAGGAAGAGCGTTGTCTAACGTTCAGTGGTCCCAGCTGGAGCTGAACCTGTAACCTCAGTGACGACATGTGCTAATCATCCAAGGTCATGCTGACCTAAGGCGCTGCCCCGAAGCGCTGACGCCCAGGGGCTCCACGGTAGCCCTGTGCTCCGCACCCAGGACGTCACTGATTCTCTCCCACTGCAGGCTTCCCTCCCCACGTCCACCTGCTCCCATCAAACGTTCCCTCCACGCTGTGTCACAAATACAGGACAGAGGCTCTCCACTTCTAAAAACCGCTTCCATTTCCTCAACACCATTCATGGCAGGCCTTCTCTGTGCCAGGCACTCTTCCAGAGAGACATGAGTGGATACGTATGGGATATATCAGTGGGATAAAATGGTCAAGGATCCCTGCTTTGAAAGAGATTATATTCTAGCAAGAGAAGACAGACAATGAACAATAAATACAATGCATTAAATAAGAAATGTGTTGGAAAAAGAGAATGTCAGGCAGAATAAGAAGGAAGCAGGATTACCATACACTCTAGCTAGCAATCCCACTCCTGGCCATATATCTGGAAAAGACAAAAATTCTAATTCAAAAAGATACATGCATCCCTATGTTCAGAGCACAACTGTTTACAATAGACAATATGTGGAACCAACCTAAATGCCCGTCAAGAGATGAATGGATAAAGAAGATGTGGTATACATACAGAATGGAATATTCCTCATCCATAAAAAGGAATGAAATAATGCCATTTACAGCAACAAGGATGGACCTGGGGAGTGTCATAGTAAGTGAAGTGTCAGTTCAGTTCAGTTCAGTCGCCCAGGCGTGTCCGACTCTTTGCGACCCCATGGACTGCAGCACGCCAGGCCTCCCTGTCCATCACCAGCTCCTGGAGTTTACCCAAACTCATGTCCATTGAGTTGGTGATGCCATCCAACCATCTCATCCTCTGTCGTCCCCTTTTCCTCCTGTCCTCAATCTTTCCCAACATCAGGGTCTTTTCAAATGAGTGAAGTAAGTCAAAGACAAATATCATATGATATCACTTATACATCATATCTGAAAAAATGATACAAATGAACTTACTTACAAAACAGAAATAGACTCACAGAGAGAATACACTTATGGCTGTCAAAGGGGAAATGGAGGAGGAGGGATAATTTGGGAATTTGGGATTATCAGATACACACTATTATATATCAAATAGATAAACAAAGACCTACTGCAAAGCTCAGGGGTCTATCTTCCATATCTTATCATAACCTATAAGGGAAAAGAATCTGAAAAAGAAAAAAAAAATATATATATCACTTTGCTATACATCCAAAATTAACACAACATTGTAAATCTACTTAAAAAACATGGCATGAGTGCAGAGGTTGAGCAAGTGGCCCCTTTCAAAGATCCGTCAGGATTCTCGTGGCTGAGAAAACCCGGGAGGCGAGACTAGCGGGGGTGGACGGTGGGAGCCTGTGCGCAGCCGGGGCTGAGGCCGGCCGGACTGGCCCGCTCACAGGAGGGTTCGGAGGGGAGCGGCGTGGGGCCTGGCGCTGGTGGAAGCAGACCACGCGGCCCCGCTGACGCCTCGGAGGACCTGGCTTTGGCACTGAGGCTGAGGGGCCCGCGGGGTCCCCGAGAGAAGCGGCGTGGTCTGACTCGTGCGTTTGCAGGGGCTGTGACTGTTCCAGGCGCTGGGGCTGACCCCAATTCCCCTCCGCGTGTGGGCAGCCGCCCCCTGCGGGCCAGTCTCCTGGCAGACGTCTCCACTCGTGACCTCCCTCAGTCCGCCTTCTATACCGGCGGGTACCGATTCTGACCAGGACCCCTGGGTGGGAAAACCCCAAACCAACCGTTTTGCTCTCACTTTCCCTATATTGATGATCTTGCCTCCACGAAGCTCTCTCATGCCTCGATTCTCTTGATCACCATTCTCAACTCTTTTCCTTGAATCACCTTCTTTCTCAACCTGGCTCTCAGAAGTCTGTGCTGCTCAAGTTTCGGTATCAGGTCCTCTTCTCATTAGATATACATTTGGGAGGGGAGCAATTCCTTTCTTTTCCACGAGCTACATTTTCATCATTTTGTTGATGATGGCGAAGTTGTTACTTCCATCCCGAATCTTGGTCCGGACATCCAGAGCCATACACAACTGCTTATTGGACATCTTGACGTGGCAGTGGAAGGCCCCACGTGTCTCTGAAGGAGAGGTTCAGAAACAGCACTCCAGGGGGAAGGGAAGGACTGGATTGTATAGAAACTGCATTTGTACTGCATGGTTTTTTTTTTGGTTTTTTTTTGGTTTTTTGTTTTTGTTTTTTTTTTTTTTTTACTACAACTGAGTGTATAGTTGGGGTAGCCAAACAAAAAACTGATGAAAACCAGGAGAAGGCTGTGAGCCACTCTGCCTCATGTATGATGTTCAAACCTCCATCCACAGTTCTTCAAGCACTGTATCAAGAATAGCAAGGAGAAAGACGAAAGCCTTCCTAAGCAATCAATACAAAGAGGAATATTGAGGAAAATAGAGGAAAACAATAGAATGGGAAAGACTAGAGATCTCTTCAAGAAAATTAGAGATGTCAAGGGAACATTTCATACAAAGATGGGCTCAATAAAGGACAGAAATGGTATGGACCTAACAGAAGCAGAAGATATTAAGAAGAGGTGGCAAGAATACACAGAAGAACTGTACAAAAAGATCTTCATGACCCAGATAATCACGATGGTGTGGTCACTCACCTAGAGCCAGACATCCCGGAGTGAGAAGTCAAGTGGGTCTTAGGAAGAATGACCACTAAGAACAAAGCTAGTGGAGGTGATGGAATTTCAGCTGAGCTATTTCAAATCCTAAAAGATGATGCTGTGAAAGTGCTGCACTCAATATGCCAGCAAATTTGGAAAACTCAGCAGTAGCCACAGGACTGGAAAATGTCAGTTTTCATTCCAATCCCAAAGAAAGGCAATGCCAAAGAATGTTCAAACTACCACACAATTGCACTCATCTCACACACTAGCAAAGTAATGCTCAAAATTCTCCAAGCCAGGCTTCAACAGCACATGAACTGTAAACTTCCAGATGTTAAAGCTGTGTTTAGAAAAGGCAGAGGAACCAGAGATCAAATTGCCAATATCTGTTGGATCATAGAAAAAGCAAGAGAGTTCCAGAAAAACATCTATTTCTGCTTCATTGGCTATGCTAAAGCCTTTGACTGTGTTGATCACAACAAACTATGGAAAATTCTTCAAGAGTTGGGAATACCAGACCACCTTACCTGCTTTCTGAGGAATTTGTATGCAGGTCAATAAGCAATAGTTAGAACCAGACATGGAAAAACAGACTGGTTCAAAATTGGGAAAGAAATATGTTAAGGCTGTATATTGTCACCCTGCTTATTTAACATATGCAGAGTACATCATGAGAAATGCTGGGCTGGAGGAAGCACAAGCTGGAATCAAGGCTGTAGGGAGAAATATCAATAACCTTAGATATGCAGATGACACCACCCTTATGGCAGAAAGTGAAGAACTAAAGAGCCTCTTGATGAAGGTGAAAGAGGAGAGTGAAAAAGTTGGCTTAAAACTCAACATTGAAAAAACTGAGATCATGGCATCCAGTCCCATTACTTCATGGCAAATAGATGGGGAAACAATGGAAACAGTGACAGACTTTATTTTCCTGGACTCCAAAATCACTGAAAATGGTGACTGCAGTCATGAAATTAAAAGACACTTGCTCTTTGCAAGAAAGCTATGACAAACCTTGACAGCATTTTGAAAAGCAGAGACATTACTTTGCTGACAAAGGTCCATCTAGTCAGAGCTATGGTTTTTCCAGTAGTCATGTATGGATGTGAGAGGACCATAAAGAAGGTTGAGCACCGGAGAACTGATACTTTTGAACTGTGGTGTTGGAGAAGACTCTTGAGAGTCCCTTGGACTGCAAGGAGATAAAGCCAGTCAATGCTAAAGGAAATCAGTCCTGAATATTCATTGGAAGGACTGATGCTGAAGCTGAAGCTCCAATATTTTCACCACCTGATGTGAAGAACTGACTCATTGGAAAAAACCCTGATGCTGGGAAAAATTGAAGGCAGGAGGAGAAGGGGACGACAGAGGATGAGATGGTTGGATCGCATCACCGACTCAATGAACATGAATTTTAGTAATCTCCAGGAGCTGGTAAAGGACAGGGAAGCCTGACATGTGGCAGTCCATGGGATGGCAAAGAGTCAGACATGACTGAGTGACTGAACTGAACAATGAGCCATTCCAAGCTACCTGTGGGCACCACTACTGATATTAGATGTGCATATATATTCAAACGGCTTCCCTGGTGGCTCAGTTGGTAAAGAATCCACCTGCAATGCATGAGACCCTAGTTCTATCCTGCATCAGGAAGATTTCCTAGAGGAGGAAATGGCAACCCTCTCCAGCATTCTTGCCTGGGAAACCCCATGGAAAAAGGAACCTGGTGGGCCACAGTACATGGAGTCGCAAGAGTCAGACACAACTTAGCAACTAAACCACCAACCACTACCACATATATTCAAAACTCGGTGAAACAAATCTAAATCCTCACCCCATGTCCCCTATCTCAGAGGATGGGACTTCCATCTAACTGGGCACTCAAATCTCAAACTGAGAATCTTCTCTCATTACTGATTATAACCTCCTCTACCCAACTTTTTATTCTGGTTCATGAACTCTGGGATTAGCCTCAGTCCTCCTTGGGGCCATGGCCTCTAACCCTGCCTGCAGGCTCCAAGGGCTTGGCTCCTTCTCCTGCCTTCTCAGGGACCAGCTGGAGTCCTGCTGCAAACCACAAAATTACCCTGAATCCCTATGATTCCTCTCATACAAACTGACCACTGCCCACAGAATCCTGCTTCTGTGTCTTGCTCATGAGATCAAATCTTCTTGGACGCCGGCTCCAGTCTAGAGCAAGCCTCATTCTCTGGGCCACTCCCTTCAAGGGCCAGCTCTATGTATGTGAAAACTCCAAGTTGTGGCCTCTTTTCTATGGCTTCCACCAAAGCCCTAGCACGTTCCTCAGCCCAGCCGGCTTCTCAGTTATGCCAGTCTGCATTAGTCGGGTGAGGACAGACTATTTGTAGCAAAACAACCCAGAGCGAAGTGTAACACAACAAAGGCTTAATTCTCACTCAAGCCAGAGTCAGAAGCAGGTCAGGGAGTTTTCCACAGTGGTCTTTCAGATGGCAAA